AGCACGTGACTCCCTCCGTGGTTTTCTATTTGAAATGCCACTTTATGGTATTGATATACCTCCGTAGACCCAATGAGGGTTATTTACTAAAACTGGAGAGTGCAAAATCTGGTGCAGCTCTGCATAGAAACCAACCAGCTTCCAGGTTTTATTGCTAAAGCTTAACCACTTCAAGCCTGGACCAGGGGTGGACTGACAACTCATGGGGCCCCCCGGGCAATAGGGGATCATGGGGCCCCTGTGTCCTTGCCCACACTCAAAAAAGCCTATGAAAAAGGTATTAGGGGCATCTCATGGGGCCCCCTACTGACCCCAGGCCCTCGGGCAGTGCCCGAGTTTCCAAATGGTCAGTCCGCCCCTGGTCCAGACACTTTTACCCCCTTCCTGTCCAGGCCAATTTTCAGCTTTCAGTGCTATCACACTGTGAATGACAATTGCGCGGTCATGCAACACTGTACCAATATGAATTTTTTAGCATTTTTTGAGATAGATATAGCTTTATTTTGGGGGTATTTATTCACCTCTGGGATTTAAATTATTTTTGCTATGTAAATAAAAAAAGTTCAAAAATTTTGAAAGAAAAGTGTTCTTATAAAATTTAGCAAATAAATAATATTTCATCATAAATCTTGGCCAAAATTTATTCCGTTATCTTTTTAGTAAAAAAAATAATAATAACCCAAATTAGTTTATATAACCAAAAATTATAATTTTTAAACCTGTTTGTTAATATTTTTATTTTATTTTTTATATTATTATTCATTTTTTTTTTTTTTACATACTGTCACGCTAGCAGTACAGTGTCACACTGTACTACTTGTGGGGGGAGGGTGATAAAGATTTTTTTTTTTTACACTGATTGCTTTTACACCCATAAAGGCTGTAAAAGCAATAATTTATCCTTCTCTCTGGCTGCATTCTTGCAGCCATTGAGAACTACTGTGTGAGCTGTGATTGGTCACAGCTTGTCACATGGTACAAGGCTGTTGTGAATAGCCTTGTACCATGTGACCTCTGTGATCATTCACAGATTTCACACGTAGTAAGCAATGATGTCAGAAGTGACATCTTGCTTACTACTCTGCATGTGATCACTGATTGGCCAATCAGATTAGCACAACAACAGTGCGTAGAGAACTTCATGGAATGGGTTTCTATGGCTGAGCAGCTGCATCCAAGCCTTACATCACCAAGTGCCATGCAAAGCGTCGGATGCAGTGGTGTAAAGCACGCCACCACTGGACTATATAGCACTTTTGACATGTTCTCTGGAGTTACCAATCACGCTTCTCTGTCTGGTAATCCAATGGACGTGTCTGGGTTTGGTGGTTGCCAAGAAGAATGGTACTTGCCTGACTGCATTGTGCAAGTGTAAAGTTTGGTGGAGGGGGGTTATGGTGTGGGGTTGTTTTTCAGGGGTTGGGCTTGGCCCCCTAGTTCCATTGAAGGGAACTCTTAAGACGTCAGCATACCAAGATATTTTGGACAATTTCATGCTCCCAACTTTGTGGGAACAGTTTGGGGATGGCCCCTTCCTGATCCAACATGACTGCGCACCAGTACACAAAGCAAGGTCCTTAAAGACATGGAGGAGAGAGTTTGGGGTGGAGGAACTTGACTGACCTGAACAAAGTCCTGACCTCAACCCGACAGAACACCTTTAGGATGAATTAGAGTGGAGACTGCGAGCAAGGCCTCCTCCCCCGACATCAGTGCCTGACCTGACAAATGTGCTTCTGGAAGAATGGTCCAACCTTCCCATAGACACCCTCCTAAACCTTGTGGAAAGCCTTGTGCAAAGGGCGGGGCCAACCCAAATTTTGAACCCTACGGACTAAGACAAGGAGGTCATTAAAGTTCATGTGCGTGGAAAGGCAGGCCGACAAATACTATTGGCAATATACTGTAAGTTAAATAGTACCAAAATAGAGTATACACTTGGTAACAAGCAAATGTCAGAGGGGCTTCATGGTTGGCTGTATTTGACACAAAGAACACAAGTCCCTACCCCAGCTCCTGTCCAGTTAGAACACTGTCCATCTTCTTGAGGCCGAACCCTCTGCCATCTTGTGCCCCACTCCAAGCCAGAGGCTTCCAACCGACATTCCTGGCCGTTGACCTTTATGTCCCCAAAGGAATGTCCAAACATAAAAGTACTTTTGCTGCACTTTACTGGTGGAATTCAGGACAAGACATAACAGTCACATCACAAGGACACACATTCCAGAGTCATTTGCAATTACTAAGATAATCACATTTAGTGGTCAGTCTGCATTACTCACATGTGAAAGCATATGCAGCACCTTTAGTAGCCATCCTACTTTAACAGTGTCTTCTCCACCCGAGATCATTAGTACTCACAGGACTGAGCTCTCTGTAGTCACCTCCTCCTTAGGTACACCTCTCCCGAGGACCCTCCAGGGAAGTAGTCTCAAACAGGGAACTCTTGGCCCGGTCTAAAAGGCCTTATGCAATGGGCCCTATCTCTCACCTCCATAAGGGACAGAAAAACTACAGGCATCTCCTCCCAGGTGTAGGTCTACTCCTGCTCTCCCAGGTGTAGGCCTCCCGCCCTATCCAGGGCCTACACGTGCTGGTTACATTGACATAGGTGTGGGGTGGTTATCTCCCATTCCCCAAGTGCTGCTGGGGCTCCTCCCAGCCTGGCCTATAACAACTCACCCAGGACTGCAGGAGGTCTCTACCAAAAAGGGTCCTAACACCTGATGACACTATATGCTGTAGCCAGACACTATTCTGATACAGAACCACCTAGTAGCCAAGTAGCTAACTGCACATGCCTACAAACAGACCTGAGAATGACCCTTAGGCCCTATACTTAGGAAGGTCCTGTCTACGGGCAATGCTAAGATAATAGTTTACCCGTTTCTGTCAAGCCCTTTCCCTATTGGCCCAAGTCCAGCGTTTGAGCACTCACATAAAGTTTCTCCAAACCTGGGTATATGTGCCTACACTGTGTCCCAAACAATACTGTTCCTCTTTAATAGGGTAAGGTAGAGTTTGTACAATATGTAAATATTTGGCACTGGAGGGTTATAATGGATCTACTGAAAAGTCCAAAACTTCAAAAAGTCCATCAATAAAGTCCAAAGGGTAGGGGGAGGGAGGAGGGGAGAGAGGGGGGAACAAGCTGTGCGTTTTCCCAAATGTAATGGACAAAGAACAGTAGCGTCAGTGGAAGGGGCGGACTGACAACTCATGGGGCCCCCGGGCAATAGGGGATCATGGGGCCCCTGTGTCCTTGCCCAAACTCAAAAAAGCCTATGAAAAAGGTACCAGGGGCATCTCATGGGGCCCCCTACTGACCCCGGGCCCTCAGGCAGTGCCCGAGTTTCCAAATGGTCAGTCCGCCCCTGGTCAGTGGCAGCACCCTCAGAATAAAGCTGGACTCTGTAAGCAAAGAGAGAGAAGAGAGGGCGCCGGACTAAGTGCAGCATTAATAGTAGCAATTTATTGGCATAAAAGACAATTGGCAACTCACAGGAAGTATGAAAGGTTAAGGCATGTCACCTGTGATGCGGTCCGAAGCAATCCCGGGAGCCGGGGAGGACAGGGGGAGTCCAAGCGTCAGACTGGTGGCTGGAACGAATATCCTGGAGCGGCCGGCACTTTTTTACAGAAACGCAGTACAGTCCATTTAACATGATTTCCTATGGGACACGTACACATCTCCACGTTTTCACCCGGTGCTTTTTTTTGGAAAGGGTCAGGGACTTTTTTGAAAGCAAAAAGTTGCGCTTTTGGTTCTATAGACTTCAAAGGAAATGCTGCAGAAAAGCAAGTTGTGCGTTTTTGCTTTGTTTTGCTCAGGGGCGGACTGACAACTCATGGGGCCCCCGGGCAATAGGGGATCATGGGGCCCCTGTGTCCTTGCCCACACTCAAAGCACACCCAAAAAAGCCTATAAAAAAGGTACCGGGGCATTTCATGGGGCCCCCTACTGACCCTGGGCCCTCGGGCAGTGCCCGAGTGCTTGAATGGTCAGTCCGCCCCTGGTTTTGCTACGTTTTGCAGCCTGTTGTACTTTTCTGCAATGGGAACTCACTGAAAGTGCAAGCACTGATGTGAACTATGACATTGACAACCATACAACCCACTTTCTGCGCAGAATAAAAGCAACGCATGTAGTGTGAACCGGCCCTAACCCTAGATTCACACCTAAGCGTTTTTCGCAGTTTTGCGATTTGCAGAAATGCAGTACCAGGGGTGGACTGACAACTCATGGAGCCCCCGGGCAATTGGGGTTTATGGGGCCCCTGTGTCCTTGCCCACTCAAAGCACACCCAAAAAAGCCTATAAAAGGTACCAGGGGCATTTTATGGGGCCCCCTAGTGACCCTGGGCCCTCTGGCAGTGCCTGATTGCTCGAATGGTCAGTCCCCCCTGTGCAGTACAGTCCATTTAACATGATTTCCTATGGGACAGGTTCACATCTCTCTCTCCATTTTCACCTGGTGCGCTTTTTGGAAAGGGCCACTTTTTTTTTTAATACAAAAAGTTGCGGTTTTTATTATTATTATTATTATTATTATTATACAGGATTTATATAGCGGCGACAGTTTGCTCAGAGCTTTACAATATAACGGGAGACAATACAGCAACAATACAGTGCAATACAAGAGGGATAGGAGGGCCCTGCTCCTCGAGCTTACAATCTAGGACGTTTTGGTTCTATAGACTTCAATGGTAACACTGCAGAAAAGCATGTGTTGCGTTTTTTGCCATGTTTTTGATGCGTCTTGTGTTTTAAAACTGCCTAGCAACAAGAAAAATTAAAAAAATTAAAAAACAAAAATGCCACAAAAACGCAGGTGCAAAAAAAAAACGCAACGCAAAACGCAGTGCAGAAACGGGTCAAACGCAAACTGCATAGGAGTGAGCCTAGCCTAACAGCCTATGTGCCTGTTTTAGATATTGCAGGAAAGTTTGGCTTTCAATTGTACACTTTATATTTATTTTACATTTTGCTTGTCTCTACAGGTAATAAATAACCTGGGTCCACTGGAATTGGTCCTGAACACAGCGAGCCACCATAGAGTCCACCATGGTAAGCTTCTCATTTTCATCCATATTTCAAGCTGAAGCCCAGGCATTAAAACTTTCATTTAACAGGTTCCCACCCGGCCTATACCCAGATGGCGGCCTGCAAAACACCTCGTCCCTCCGGGTGGACGTCATATGGTGTCCTTTCGGGCATGTGCAGTTTACATGCCTGCAGAGCCGCGGCTGTGTAGCTTGGACACGGCCAATGACAGATCTGAGTACTGGCCCCGTTGCCGGTACCATGTGACCTTCTTTGACCTTCTGTGATCAATCACAGCAGGTCACATGACATGGATGGCTTCCTTTCATGCCATCTATTGTATACTAGTGTGTCTAGCTGTGAATGGTCACAGAGATCACATGCACAAGCTGGGCCAATCACAGCCCAGCTGTGTCATGTGATTAGCCGTGGCCAAATCACAGATAAGCACAAAAAAAAAACCCTGAATCAGGGGCGGACTGACAACTCATGGGGCCCCTGGGCAATAGGGGATCATGGGGCCCCTGTGTCCTTGCCCAAACTCAAAAAAGCCTATGAAAAAGGTACCAGGGGCATCTCATGGGGCCCCCTACTGACCCCGGGTCCTCGGGCAGTGCCCGAGTTTCCAAATGGTCAGTCTGCCCCTGCCCTGAATGAATCGATGTCTTTCAGGTAAATGCTTGCTTATAGCAAAGTAATTCTTTGCTATAAGCAAATTGTGTGTAAAAAAAAAAATACTGATCACTTCCCCAAAGTAGTACAATGTTACTATGGTAGTGAAATATGAAAAAAAAATCTTAAAGAAAAAAAAATGTAATAAACATTAAAACTAATAAAAAAAAAATAAAAAATAATTTTATTTTTTTTTTTCATACTGTCACCAGTCTGTGTCCCTGATCACCGCCATGCCAGTTATATGATGACGCTGTACTGCACTGGTGACAGTATGTAAAAAAAAAAAATAGTGAAAAATAATTTTTTGCATTTTTTTCATTTTCCGAAAAATTATGACAAAAAAAATACAACTTCAAAAAACTCGCCATGCCTCTTATGAAGTACGTCGGACTGTCTACTTTGCAAAAAGGGGTCATTTGGGGGATATCTGTACTGTCCTGACATTTGGGGGGATATCTGTACCTTCCTGACATTTGGGGATATCTGTACTGTCCTGACATTCTTGGACCTCAAGAAATTAGATTGGCTGTCAGTACTTCAGGATTGATCAATATTCAGATCTATACCATAGTTTGTGAACTCTATAACTTTCCTACAAACTAAAAAATACATCCTAATTTGGGTTACTTTCACCAAAGACATGTAGCAGAATACATCTCGGCCTAAATTTATGAAGAACAATTATTTATTTGCAAACTTTATAACAGAAACAAAAACTTGTTTTTTTTCAACATTTTCAGCATTTTTTTGTTAATTTAGCAAAAAATAAAAACCCGAATGGTGATTAAATACCACCAAAAAAAGCTCTATTTGTGTGAAGAAAATTATAAAATTTTAGTTTGGGTACAATGTTGTATGACCGCGCAATTGTCATTCAAAGTGTGAGAGCGCTGAAACCTGAAACCTGGCCTGGGCAGGAAGGTGTAAAAGTGCCCGGTATGGAAGGGGTTAAATACTGTATATCCTTAAAGCGGAGTTCCACCTGAAAAAAATAAATAAAAGTCAGCAGCTACAAAATCTGTAGCTGCTGACTTTTAAAATACAGCCACTTACCTGTCCCTCGATCCAGCGGTGTCTTCACCATGGTTGGTTTCTCCGGCCATCTTCTCTCCCCGGCGCCGGCACCTTTAGTGTGGGTACCCGGCTGTGACAGCTTGCGCCCACTGCACATGTGCGAGAAGCGCTGCACTTTGTAAATGGCCCCGTAGTCTTCTGGGACCTGTCACGTGTCCCAGAAGACTACGGGGAGGGAGGGGGGAGGACAACTTAAGTTTCCGATCACCTAGGTGATCGCAGTGGAAGTGGGAGTGGGTACCTGTCAAATTCGAGTATCCGTTCCTACCCCCGCTCCCCAAAGGTGCCAATCCTAATGGGGAGCGGGGGGACAAAGCATTAAAGCGGAACTTCCCATTTTGGGTGGAGTTCCACTTTAAGTAGCCACAAAAGATATGAACCCACTTTGAGTGCACCATATGCTTTTGCAAAATCAAAAGTAATCTTGTAAAAGTAGTGCTGATGTCATCACTGTGCTGTACATAGCCTGCACACAGCAGTGGTGTTGCTATGGGGGGGCAGAGGGGTGACACCATCTGGCCTATGACTGGAACACAGAGGAGGGGCAGTGACCTCTGAGGAGGGAGGACATAAATGGTCAGTTCTCTGTCCGCCCCGCCTCCGCTCACCCCATTGCAGGACAAGCTCGGCTCACTCCTGCTCCTGACGTAGTGACGTCATCATGTGGCGTGCACTTCTCGGTTGTCCTGGTGACGGGCGGTTTTATACTAGACGAAGATAGATGGAGTGATGAGGAGAGGTGGAGGAGGGGAGGTGAGAGACCCTCCTGGGAAGGGTAGGGGCAGGGAAATTATATGCAATGTGAGATTGTGCGGTGTGGGAGAATTGAAGGGGGGGGGGGCATGTGATCAGCACAGAGCCAATCAGCACTAACCAGACAGAGGTCAGGGGTTTCACATCCTCCTAGAGCTGAAAGAAAGCTCCTCCCAGGAGCATCCCTAGGGTTGGTGTCACCCAGTGCAGTAACACTTGGTGTCACCCCTCCGATGATCCCCGCAGGATGGCTCGGATCTGCGGATTGAGCATAATGGATCGGAGTCCGATCCATTATGCTCCCAAATCCGCAGATCCGATCCATCCTGCGGAGATCATCGGCTTGCAACCTATACGGGGTTAACTGATCTCTCCACGAGCTCCATGAAAAGGTACGTTTTAAAGCAAGCCGACGATCCCCACAAGATGGATCAGATCTGTGGATTGGGGAGCATAATGGATCGGACTCCAATCCATTATGCTCAGTTTGCAGATCCGATCCATCCTGCGGGGATTGTCGACTTGCTTTAAAACGTATCTTTTCGTGGAGCTGGTCCGGTGTCAACCCGTGCGATAGGTGTCACCCTGTGCGGCGCGCACCCCCCGCACCTGCCTAGGGACGCCCCTGACTCCTCCTAGAAGCTTTACCAGTGCTCTCCTGAAGTCACAAGATTGCTCTAACTGCTGATGAGAAAAGGTATTTAGCAGTTTATATTTACTAAAATAATTGCATTTCCATGTTCTGTTTACTGTGGAGACCAGATATAGTGAATGCAGGGTCCGGGGAGACCAGATATAATGAATGCAGGGTCCGGGGAGACCAGATATATTGAATGCAGGGTCCAGGGAAACCAGATATAGTGAATGCAGGGTCCGGGGAGACCAGATATAGTGAATGCAGGGTCCGGGGAGACCAGATATATGAATGAATGCAGGGTCCGGGGAGACCAGATATAGTGAATGCAGGGTCCGGAGAGACCAGATATATGAATGCAGGGTCCAGGGAGAGCGGATATAGTGAATGCAGAGTCCAGGGAGACCAGATATAGAGAATGCAGGGTCCGGGCAGACCAGATATAGTGAATTCAGGGTCCGGGAGACCAGATATAGTGAATGCAGGGTCTGGGGAGACCAGATATAGTGAATGCAGGGTCCGGGGAGACCAGATATAGTGAATGCAGAGTCCGGGGAGACCAGATATAGTGAATGCAGGGTCCGGGGAGACCGGATATAGTGAATTCAGGGTCCGGGGAGACCAGATATAGTGAATGCAGGGTCTGGGGAGACCAGATATAGTGAATGCAGAGTCCGGGGAGACCAGATATAGTGAATGCAGAGTCCGGGGAGACCGGATATAGTAGTGAATGCAGGGTCCGGGGAGAGCAGATATAGTGAATGCAGGGACCGTGGAGAGTGGATATAGTGAATGTCGGGTCCAAGGAGAGCGGATATAGTGAATGCAGGGTCCTGGGAGACCAGATATAGTGAATGCAGGGTCCAGGGAGACCAGATATAGTGAATGCAGGGTCAGGGGAGACCAGATATAGTGAATGCAGGGTCCGGGGAGACCAGATATAGTGAATGCAGGGTCCGGGGAGACCAGATATAGTGAATGCAGGGTCTGGGGAGAGCGGATATAGTGAATGCAGGATCCGGGGAGACCAGATATAGTGAATGCAGGGTCCGGGGAGACCAGATATAGTGAATGCAGGGTCAGGGGAGACCAGATATAGTGAATGCGGGGTCTGGGGAGACTAGATATAGTGAATGCAGGGTCCGGGGAGAGCGGATATAGTGAATGCAGGGTCCGGGGAGACTAGATATAGTGAATGCAGGGTTCGTGGAGAGCGGATATAATGAATGCAGGTCTGGGGAGACCGGATAAAGTGAATGCAGGGTCCGGGGAGATCAGATATAGTGAATGCAGGGTCCGGGGAGACCGGATATAGTGAATGCAGGGTCCGGGGAGAGCAGATATAGTGAATGCAGGGTCCGGGGAGATCAGATATAGTGAATGCAGGGGTCCGGGGAGACCAGATACAGTGAATGCAGGGTCCGGGGAGACCATACAGTGAATGCAGGGTCCCAGGAGACCAGATATAGTGAATGCAGGGTCGGGGAGACCGGATATAGTGAATGCAGGGACCGGGAGGAGACCAGATATAGTGAATGCAGGGACCGAGGAGACCAGATATAGTGAATGCAGGGTCCGGGGAGTTTAGGAACACAAATTAAATTTGGACAGTGTAGGAAATAAAAATGAAGATTCTTCCACCAGGGGTTTCTTTCTGCCTGTGGCACTGCTAGGAAAGTTTTTTCCTTACTTGGGTGTCACCAGAATGGAAATCGATAAAAAACATTGCCGATTCCAACCCTTCCACAATAAAAAAAAAATCGTTTTTTGTCTGTATCTCCATTGGAAAAGATTTTCTCTATCACTTCCTATCCTGAACGAAAGCCCCCCCCCCCCCCCCCACTGGGGCGCACATGACAGTAAAAGCCCGACAGAGGTCCCAACCTTTCATCGGGTTCCTACATTTTGTTGCATACATGGCAGATAGATTGGTCCAGATTTTTTTTTATCATTACACACTGTGGTCTCCTATACTCCAGAAGAAAGTAACAGAAAGCTGCACAGGCAACACAAAGCCTTGCCTGGGACCTAAACCTCTACATTTAAGCCCAGTTGTAGGTGAAATGCGTCAGTGGGGGGGGGAGGGGATGTCACAAAAGGAACCTTGTGTTGCTTGTCTGGAGCAACAACGCCTCACCTATGGTGTTCCACTGGCTTCTTTCCTTTTGGATGGATACTTTGGGGTGAGGCTGAACCCCCTGCCAGGATTTGGCACTTGTCTTTCTACGGAGGTGATCCAGTATACGGGTCTTAGCAGCGGTGGACAATTCTTTCACTGTTCAGTCCCAATTATATGTATTTTTTCTGTGTTACTTTGAACTGTATCAGTCTGTTTTTGTTTGATGTATGCATTCATGTAGTGGCAGTTTAGAGCCACCTCAACTTTTTATTATGTGATTTGGTATCTCCCTCTGTCCTCTCCTCCCTTTTAATGCTAGTTAGTTCAGTCCTAGCTAGACCCTCCCTGTTTCCTTCATGTTCCCTCTGTTAGTGTTAGTACTTCACAGAGACAGGTCTTAGGAAAGGCATTGACTTCTTACACTTCAAAGACTGAAAAAAACATCCTCTGTACTGCAATTATCTGAAGTAGAAACACATTATGTGGCCTACTGAAGAGTTAAGCTGCCTGTGGATTGTGCCAAGTCACCAGGTGACAATACTATCTGGACAGGCGGGGTCTAAGGAGATATGTCAATGTATAAAATGACATTGGAAATAGAAAATTTGCTAACCCATACTCCAGGTTAGATTTCATGATTCCATTGGATGACCCTTACTATCATAAACTGATGAACTTTCTGTCTATACTCATTTTTGCAGGCAGAAATCCCTATTGTATCGATTCAAACTACGGTGGGACACTCATCATATGGGACAGGATGTTCGGTAAGTGTTCAGGAAATCACTAAATCTGGTATATGCAGTGGGCAATGGGACAAGATATTGGGGAGACACTGTAGAGTTCCCCTTTCAGAAAATTAGATGTCTGTATCACCTGGTGATGGGTGGGTTTCCCTTGCAGCTAAGTTCCAGACTCCCCTGAGAGTGGGACAGCGGGAGTCTGGCCCAAAGTTGCACAGGTCACTTGTAGGAGTGCTGGTTGGTGGTCCACTCAGAAGCACAGCTGGTGCACGGAGATAGGTCTGCAGGCAGGAGGCGCCTGTGCGTTGTATGTAAGCCCTTCCGGGATTTAGATGTTTACTGGGTAGTCGGTTCAAGCCAAGGTCAGGTACCAGGTGGGAATCAGAGCAGACATAGTCAGATGGGATAGCCGAGGTCATACACAGAGGAGCGAGAGAGAGAGTATCCGTAAGCCAAGCCGAGGTCAGATCAGGGGTAACGCAGCGTAGACAGGTCCAGGAGCAAGCTGAGTCGGTAACAGGAAATCAAAGGTCAGAATCACAGGAACCAGGAACAGGGCACGGGGAGCTAGAGATCATCCAGCAACTTGAGGAAGTGATGAGCCTCCTTATAAAGGCCGTCTGGCACCAGATTGAGGCTGATGTGTACTTCTGCGGCCATGCAGAGTACTGGCAGAAAAGCCAGATCTTCCAGAACTTCTGCCGTGGACAGGACCCTGACAGTCTGGAAATTATGCTGACCAGAAGGCTTCAATATTTTCAAATAATGGATCAGAATATATTACTTTCATCCAACTTTGTTAAGAACATGCGCGTTCCAGGTCAGTGACTTTGGATATATTAAAGTCAGAGAACTAATATGCTCAAAAGGAGATCAGCGGGGGCATCCTTTGTATTTTTCTCAGTATACTTTCCCTTTAAATGCCAATCTTAATAAATGGTTACAGAGCCCACCTTGGAAACAGGAGTCACACTCTTCACCTTGATAAAGCACCTTTTGAGTGTGAAATGGTCACCTGGATAGTGAGGGGAACCAGGGCCACCAATAGGGGAGTGCAGCCTACCCTCCTGTACTAAGTCTGGACCCCATCAGTTCAGTAGGGGGCCCAGGGGCAGAGAGGACCCCTTAAAGGCTAGGTTCACTTTTTTTTCTTTTTCTAAATTTCAGCTCCCATATGTATCAATATACCAATAATGTACCGCTGTTGCAGAAAAATAAAAGCTTTCTTTGATTTTTAGAACAAGGTCTTACCTTAGTCTCTGGTGTGTTCCATAGAAAACTTCATGACTTCCTGGTATGTAGATTTGGGACGTGAAAGCCAGTAAGACACAGGAAGCAGTTCAGGATGCTGTGGATGCCGTGCTAACATAGCAGCTGTGGCAGCCTACATTGACAAGCCAGGCAAATGCACTCCTGGAGGGATGCGGGGAATGCCATACAAACATGATTGATAGCTGCAGAGTGTGTGTGCTCCTGAGGTCAGCTGGTGATCTGCTTCCTGTGTCTTACTGGCTTTCATGTCCCAAATGTACATACCAGGAAGTCATGAAGTTTTTTATGAAACACACCAGAGCTAAGGTAAGGCCTTGTTCTAGAAATTTAGGAAAGTTTTTATTTCTCTCTAGAACAGAAGTACATTATTGGTACATAGGGGAGCTGGAATTTAGATAAAAAAAGAACTTAGACTTTAATTACCTTTGGTCACATGCACAATATTCCTATAGGCTGTGGCTCCCAGTGATTCAATAAAAGTTTGCTGGGCGTTATCAGTTCAGCAGCAGGGGCCTGCTTTTTGGGAGCAGGTGGCATAATCCCCCATGCCGCAGCTCCCAACAATTAAATTCAAGTTCTGGCCTCTTCTTCTACATGGAGCAACACAGTGGCTAAATGGTTAGCACTTCTACCTGGCAGTCCTAGGGTCGTTGGTTTGAACCCCAGCCATGGCACCACCTGCCTGGAGTTTGCATGTTCTCCCTGTGCCTGTGTTGGTTTCCTCTGGGTCCTCTGGTTTTCTCTCACACTCCAAAGACATGCTGTTAGGTTAATTGGCTCATATCTAAATTGGCCCTAGTGTCTGTACGTATCAATGTGAGTTAGGGACCTTAGATTGTACGCCACCTTCAGGCTTAGGGACTGATGCAAATGCACAATACATATGTAAGAGTGAATTGACAGCGCTATATAAGTACCTGTAATAAATATATCAATAAAGTCCTGACAAAACTTTTCCTAACTTGATAAATACCTTATTTATTGGTCCTCTGGGAAATATCTCCCTCACTTCCTGTTCTGGCAAACACCCATCTATTAGACAGGAAGTGAGAACATTCCTGCAAATTGTTGACTTAGAAAGGTAAGTGGGACTGAGCCCTGCACTTATGAACTCAATGATAAACCATAAAATCGGTGATTTGCCTTTAAAAAAAAGGGCAAATGTAATATCGGCTGTATTATAAAATTTAGTGCATGTAACCGTGAGCTGAATTCCTGATAGATGGACAAATGTGCAGCTAATTCGAAACAGAGAATCTATTTAACCCCTTTCAGCCCACAATCTGTAAATTAATGTTCCCAACATGATACCCTTGCTAAGGATACATTAATTGTCAGACTTTTTTTTATAGCGCAAAAAAATAAAAACCGCAGAGGCGATCAAATACCTTTGAAAGAAAGCTCAATTCGTGGGGAAAAAGGACATAAATTTCATTTGGGTGCAGCGTTGCACGACCACGCAATTGTCACTTAAAATAAGGCAGCGTCCTGATGCAAAAAATACTGTTTCTCTTTAATAGGGTAAGGTAGAGTTTGTACAATATGTAAATATTTGGGACTGGAGGGGTATAATGGATCTACTGAAAAGTCCAAAAATTCAAAAAGTCCATCAATAAAGTCCAAAGGGTAGGGGGGGGGGGGAGGAGAGAAAGGGGGGAACAAGCTGTGCGTTTTCCCAAATGTAATGGACAAAGAACAGTAGCGTCAGTGGAAGGGGCGGACTGACAACTCATGGGGCCCCCGGGCAATAGGGGATCATGGAGTCCCTGTGTCCTTGCCCAAGTATATCAAGTATTTAGATTGCCTGTCAGTTTATTTATTTATCCATTTATTTTTTGAATTTACAAGATCATAAAATGATATTAATATCATGAAAATATTCTTATAAGTTTTTAATTTAAAAAAAAATACATTTTTAAAATAGGATGGTTCCATGTCACTTGCCTGCATGCTTGGAAGCATCCTGTGTATTACTGACTATACCAGACAATCCTGTCTCTGCTTGGAGAAAGAATTTGTTCCACATCTGAGTCCATTCAATGTATCTTTTTGTTTGCTTTTAGTATTTTAATGAGCTGTTTCTAATCTAATCTGCCATCCTAATTGTTCATTATGTAATGGGCTGTAGGACCCAGGACCAGGGGCGGACTGACAACTCATGGGGCCCCCGGGCAATAGGGGATCATGGGGCCCCTGTGTCCTTGCCCAAACTCAAAAAAGCCTATGAAAAAGGTACCAGGGGCATCTCATGGGGCCCCCTACTGACCCCGGGCCCTCGGGCAGTGCCCGAGTTTCCAAATGGTCAGTCCGCCCCTGATTCAGAACTAGAGTCGATATTTGTCTACTTGTCAAGCTTTTACTATTCCTTTTGCTTTCCCATAGATATGTCTCAATATTTAAGTGAGGTTGTCTAACTCTGACTTCTCTGTACCTGATACTTCATGGCATTTTTGTACCTATGTCTATTTAATTGTACTTGAACTTGATCTTCCCAATAAAAAAAATAGTTTGTAAAAAAAAAAATATATATATATACAGTCAGGTCCATAAATATTGGGACATCTACACAATTCTAACATTTTTGGCTCTATACACCACCACAATGGATTTGAAATGAAACAAACAAGATGTGCTTTAACTGCAGACTGTCAGCTTTAATTTGATGGTATTTACATCCAAATCAGGTGAACGGTGTAGGAATTACAACAGTTTGCATATGTGCCTCCCACTTGTTAAGGGACCAAAAGTAATGGACAGAATAATAATCATAAATCAAACTTTCCCTTTTTAATACTTGGTTGCAAATCCTTTGCAGTCAATTACAGCCTGAAGTGTGGAACGCATAGACATCACCAGACGCTGGGTTTCATCCCTGGTGATGCTCTGCCAGGCCTCTACTGCAACTGTCTTCAGTTCCTGCTTGTTCTTGGGGCATTTTCCCTTCAGTTTTGTCTTCAGCAAGTGAAATGCATGCTCAATCGGATTCAGGTCAGGTGATTGACTTGGCCATTGCAGAACATTCCACTTCTTTCCCTTAAAAAACTCTTTGGTTGCTTTTGCAGTATGCTTTGGGTCATTGTCCATCTGCACTGTGAAGCGGCGTCCATCGAGTTCTGAAGCATTTGGCTGAATATGAGCAGATAATATTCCCGAAACACTTCACAATTCATCCGGCTGCTTCTGTCAGCAGTCACATCATCAATAAATACAAGAGAAGCAGTTCCATTGGCAGCCATACATGCCCACGCCATGACACTACCACCACCATGCTTCACTGATGAGGTGGTATGCTTAGGATCATGAGCAGTTCCTTTCCTTCTCCATACTCTTCTCTTCCCATCACTCTGGTACAAGTTGATGTCGGTCTCATCTGTCCATAGGATGTTGTTCCAGAACTGTGAAGGCTTTTTTAGATGTCATTTGGCAAACTCTAATCTGGCCTTCCTGTTTTTGAGGCTCACCAATGGTTTCCATCTTGTGGTGAACCCTCTGTATTCACTCTGGTGAAGTCTTCTCTTGATTGGTGACTTTGACACACATACACCTACCTCCTGGAGAGTGTTCTTGATCTGGCCAAATGTTGTGAAGGGTGTTTTCTTCACCAGGGAAAGAATTCTTCGGTCATCCACCACAGTGGTTTTCCGTGGTCTTCCGGGTCTTTTGGTGTTGCTGAGCTCACCGGTGCGTTCCTTCTTTTTAAGAATGTTCCAAACAGTTGTTTTGGCCACGCCTAATGTTTTTGCTATCTCTCT